ACGGGCGTAAGGGACATAAGAAAGGATGCTACTGAAGTGAAGACAACTGTCCCGTGCAGGATCCCAGCCTCCCATTTCCCTCCCCCTCCTCCCACCCTTCTCCCCTCCCCCCACTCCTCTCCACCTCCCTCTCCAGTCCAAAGAGCAGTCAGGGTTCCCTGCCCTGTGGAAAGTCCAAGGTCCTCCCTCCTCCGTCCATGTCTAGGAAGGTGAACATCCAAACTGGCTAGGCTCCCACAAAGCCAGAACATGAAGTAGGATCAAAACCCCGTGCCATTGTCCTTGGCTTCTCAGCAGCCCTCATTGTTCGCCATGTTCAGAGAGTCCGGTTTTATCCCATGCTTTTTCAGTCACAGTCCAGCTGGCCTTGGTGAGCTCCCATTAGATCAGCCACACTGTCTCAATGGGTGGATGCACCCCTCGTGGTCCTGACTTCCTTGCTCATGTTCTCCCTCCTTCTGCTCCTCATTGGGACCTTGGGAGCTCAGTCTAGTGCTCCAGTGTGGGTCTCTGTCTCTATCCCCATCCATCACCAGATGAAGGTTCTATGGTGATATGCAAGATATTCGTCAGTATTGCTATAGGATAGGGTCATTTCAGGTTCCCTATCCTCAGCTGCCCAAGGAACTAACTGGGGACATCGCCTTGGGCTCCTGAGAGCCACTCTAGGTTCAAATCTCTTGCCAACCCTAAGGTGGCTCCCTTAACTAAGATTTGTGCTTCCCTGCTCCCCTATCCAACCTTCCTTTATCCCAATCATCCTGTTTCCCCAAGTTCCCCCATCCTCCCCTTCTCACTTTTCTCTCCCCATCTCTCCTTACCCCCATCCCACCCCACCCCCAAGATTCCAATTTTTTCCCCAGCAATTTTGTCTGCTTCCCATAGCCAGTAGGATAACTATATGTTTTTTTGGGGGGGTTCACCTTCTTATTTAGCTTTTTTAGGATCACCAATTATAGACTCTGTGACCTTTATTTATGGCTAGAAACCAATTATGAGTGAGTACATCCCATGTTCATCCTTTTGGGTCTGGGTTACCTCACTCAGGATAGTGTTTTCTATTTCCATCCATTTGCATGCAAAATTCGAGAAGTCATTGTTTTTTACTGCAGCATTGTACTCTAATGTGTATATATTCCACACTTTCTTCATCCATTCTTCCATTGAAGGACATCTAGGTTGTTTCCAGGTTCTGGCTATTACAAATAATACTGCTATAAACATAGTTGAACAAATGCTTTTGTCATATGATAGGCCATCTCTTGGGTATATTCCCAAGAGTGGTATAGCTGGGTCCAGGGGTAGGTTGATCCCGAATTTCCTGAGAAACCACCACACTGATTTCCAAAGTGGTTGCACAAGTTTGCATTCCCACCAGCAATGTATGAGTGTACCCCTTCCTCCACAGCCTCTCCAGCAAAGGCTATCCTTGGTGTTTTTTATTTTAGCCATTCTGACAGGTGTAAGATGGTATCTTAAAGTTGTCTTGATTTGCATTTCCCTGATTGCTAAGGAATTTGAGCATGACCTTAAGTGTCTTTTGGCCATTTGAACTTCTTCTGTTGAGTATTCTCTGTTCAGTTCAGTGCCCCATTTTATAATTTGGTTGATTAGCCTTTTACGGTCTAGTTTCTTGAGCTCTTTATATATTTTGGAGATCAGACCTTTGTCAGTTGCGGGGTTGGTGAAGATCTTCTCCCAGTCAGTGGGTTGCTATATGTCCTGTTTGTATTTCCAATATATCTTCTAAAAATTTTTTAGTTTGACCACATATTTTGAAACTTATATGGTCAAATTCAGTATTGTTCCTTGTAAGACTTAGTTTTTAGAGCTGTTTTAGGTTTATAGCTAAACTGAACAAAAAGTAAAGATTCCCCTGCCCTCACATAGGTGAACCTCTAGCCAAGCATTATCTCAAAGAAACACAAATCCATAACAAAGACAATGACAGCTTGGGAGCTAAAATATGGAAGTCAATTTACCAAGCAAACAAAAGCAAAATATGAGCTACTGTGGTTATTGAAATATGAGTGACTTCAAATCAAAGTCAGCTTGAAGAGATGAGGTTTACATTATATTAATAAAGAAAACAGTATACCAAGAAGTAGTAACAGTCTAAAATATATATGCACTGAATATTGGGGCTGACACTCAGTTTCATAAAACAAATACTTTGAGAACATAAAGGGAAAAGATAAGGGCTGCTATAGTTATAGTGAGAGACTTCAATATTCATCAATAGAGAGTTCATCCTAACTAAAGGCCAGTAAAGAGATCTCAGAGTTAAACACTACCATGAATTATCTCTAAAATAGGTAATAATTTAAATCATAAAGATTATCATAACAAAACCAAACACATTAAAATAAATTCTTATATTTAAAAAGGTTGTTGTGGAGTAAAATTAGAAATCAATAGGATGAGAAACCACAGAAAATACACAAATATTTGAAGACTGAATATTGGTCTGTACAAAAGTTTGTGGAACATTTTATATATTTTTTATTTCTTTCTTCATTTATTTTATGTTTTTAATTGAAGCAGAGTTGCATCAGTTCCCCCATGCTCCCCCTAACTCCTCACAGTTACCCTCTCTTGAACCATTCCCATTTTTCTCCCATTCTCAAATTGATAAAAACATCTGGATAAGTTAGAAGGAACCAAATTATTTCCCCATAGCCCATCAAAATTAAACTAAGAGGTTATAAACAGGATAAACAGACCCATAACAAGCAATGGGACTGAAGTACATTTGCTGAGAAAGAAATCAGGAAAAAACATTCATGTAACTTAAAATAAAACTAAACTAACTCCAAACCAACCAAACAAAATTACCTAAAAGTGTCTTAATGAAGGAGGTGAAAGACATCCATAAACATAACTTTAAAACACTGGAGAAAGGGGATACTGGAAGATAGAAAGATCTCCAATGCTTTTGGATTGACAGAATTAATGTTGTTAAAATAAGCATGTTACCAAAAAGAACCTTAAGATTTCACACAATTTGTATCAAAATTACAATGACATTCTTCATAGAACTAAGGTAACCACTAATATTCATTGGGATATATAGAAGACATCATTAGAAGAAAAAGCAGTGTTGGAGCTATACCTGATCGGAAACTACAGTACAGAGCTATAGTAACAAAAAACAGTGTGGTGTTGCCATAAAACCAGGCATACAGAGAAGCAGAATACTGAAGTGATGTGGGATTCCCTTCATATGCTGTGAATATGTTTTCTTACCATTGGTTAGTAAAGAATCTGCTTTGTCCTATGGCAGGGCAGAATAGAGAAAACTAAACTGAATGCAGAAAGAAAGAAGGTGGAGTCAGAGAGACACCATGTAGCTGCTGAAGGAGACAGATGCTGGAAACTTACCAGTAGGCCACAGCCTCATGGTGATACATAGATTAATAGAAATAAGTTAAGATGAAAGAGATGGCTGGGAATATACCTAAGCTGTTGTCCAAACAGTGTTGTAATTAATATATAGTTTCTGTGTGATTATTTGGGTCTGGGCAGCCAGAAAGCAAATGAGTAGTCTCTGCTTACATGGAAGAATCCTAGGAACAAACTTGCACAGTTACAGCCATCATCTTTGACAAAAATATAAAAGTCACATATTGGAAAACAGCCTCTTTAATGACACAGGAAAAAGTAGACATAGAAGAACACTATACACATACTTCTTTTTCTACACAAAAATAAGTTAAAGATGGATTGAAGACCTTAGTGGAGACTTAAGGCTGATATCAGAAAACCAGGGAACCAATTGAAGAGAGAGGCATAGGGAAAGACTTTCTGAGTTGGATACTAGTAGTACAGTAAATAATGTAAATAATTCACAAATAGTGTTGTACAGAATTTAAAAGCTTCTTTACTACAAGGAAAATAAAAGCTGAAGAGATAGCCCTCAGATTAAGAGAAAATCCATTGGCAATTATACATTCAGTAGGGTTTTGAGATCTAGGATCCATTATAAACTTCCCAGTTTAAACATCTAAAAACCAAACCAATCTATTAATAACCGAACTATATATAATTATAGTGTATTTAGTCCATTTATCAAATTTAAATAATGAACCAAATACACTCTCATCAAAGAAGAAATATAACCAGGGCTGGAGAGATGTCTCAGCCATTAAAGGCTAGGTAACCCCCCAAAATTGAAAAAGTGTTAAAAAAAATCTTAAGCCATCAAGAAAATGCAAGCTCAAACTGCATTAAGATTCCATTTCATCCACTCTAAGTGTCATAGAGAAAACAAATGACGACGGAGGGTGGTGGAGACTTGGAGGGAGAGAAACATGAAAGAAAGCTACCAGGAGAAAAACGTGAAGCATGAACATGCCAAGAATGAACACTAGATCTTTCCCCCAAGGTGCTCAGTATGACATGGCCAGGGGAAGAAGGGAAATGCAAGATTTGAGCTAGTGAGAAAAAAGAACTGCCTCGGGCTTCAAGATAAAAGTTAGTGAACAGAGCTTCCATTTCTAGAAGTTTGCAAACATTGAAAAAAATTTTGAAATCTCTCTTTCTCTCCCTCTCTACTCCCCCCACCCCGTGTCTCTTCCCTCCCTCCCGCTCTCCTACCCTCTCACCTTCAGATACATAGGTTAACTTAGGTTAGTGAAGGTGTGAAGAGCAAACTAGACAGGATCACCATTACCAGCATCAGCCAGCACTGAAGCCAGAAGCAGCCTAGAGCAAACTACAGGCTCTTGATGACCCAAAGATTCACTGCACTGGTATCTAGAGATTTCTGTAGGTTTGTAGGGGATTCTGGATCCTTTCACAAAAGGGAGGGCCAGAATGTCCACAAAGAGAGAGACGATAGAGCATCTTGCTGCTCTTGGCATTGGCTTTTTAACTGTAGACGGATTCAAACACTTACCTGAGAGCTAGACTTCACTCTGTTGATGTGGGGCAAACAATAATTTAACCTGTTTGTACAACTTGCATCTATCTGTCTGTATCACTCTCTCATCCGTACACAGATCTCCAAACACCTGGAGGAAGAAGCAGTTACGGGAGAGAGTTAGCTGCGAATAGCCAATCTCAGAATTAGAATCTGAAAACTAATTATTCGAAATTAGACACAAGGTAAGCATGTGTAATAAATGCAAAAATGTTAACGACAGTCTCATCACTTAGGGGTTGTGACCCATGAAGTGTGAAAGGGAATAAAACCACCACAAATAAAAATGGTTATAACAAGCAAACCTAGGAACTAAAAGAGCTTCTAGCTTCTGGTGAACATGTAGACTATGTCTGGTGGGGAAGTGAATCATACTTTGTAACTTACGCATTGAAAGAAGAACACACACTGGGAATTTACTACCTGGGAGGATCCTTAAAATTTGTTGTAGCTAGACTCTTACATCATCCAAGAACTCACCTTAGTTATTAATTAAAATACAGATTTTGGTACTTCACCAGCCTAATCATAGTTTCTGGTAGATTTTAGTATAGGATGTTTTGCATTATTTCCTAATCAGCCTTGACTAGAAGACACATGTTAGTATTTTCAGTAGAGCTGCCGATGATTAGTCTTGGTATCACTGAATTTGCTCAAGCCTTTTGGATCAAGACTCTGGAGGGTGAGCCTAGCAACGGTCTACCCAATCAATGCTTCTTGTGTGTCATGCGACATCCCCTAAGTTCTGGTGTATAGTAGTGAGGGTCACAGTTTGCAAATGACTGGTTAAATATTCATTTTACAGGGTATCGCTTGTAACTCATATGCTAGGTTAGTTCCCTTGTTACTTCTTTGCGGGCTTCCTGCCATTATAGAATTATGACAATGTGAATAAAATAATTCTTATAGTGCTTTTTCCATTATCTTTCATCCATCTGGCATTATAACCTGTGATGCTTGCTGAACTGTCAGCCTAATGTCCCTCCCAGCGTATGCCGTGCGTGAGTGAGTCATTAAAGCCTTGCTGTCATTTATAAACATATGTGTTTAAACTCAGCACTTTAATGCACCTACTAATGGTGTGCAGTGTCAAACATCTGCTAATATAATTAAAATAACTTTCTCTGTGTTCAAACTTTCAGTTACCCAAGAGAGAGAATCCTCCCTATGAAAACAACAATGGATGAAGAATTCAGTGTTGTGGACAAGAATCTTTCCACCTGCTTCAGGTGGAAACCACATTGTGGGATGAAAGTGTGTAGCAGTCACTTGACTTCACTTAGAAAATACTTTATTTGGTTTTTGTAATTGATATAGATGAAGAATTAGATTGAAACCTACCGGACTGACCTGACAGAATGACTGCTTTCTTTTCTACTTTAAAATTTTATCCCTAGTAGAAGAAGAAAACCTCTTTCTAGCAATTGCTCTGAAGGTTTCCTTCGTTTCTCCATTGTCCCACATGTGATCAGTGACAACCTGAGAAGAGAGGGTTCACCGTGTCTTCTCAGCTTCTTGTATTTGGAAGGATGAGTAAGGTCTTGATTGACAGACTTCAGAACAGAGAAACCACTGACCTGCTGTTTCCAAAAGAAAGGCTATCTGACAATTCCCCACTCCCACTAATGTTGCAAAATCAGCAGATGCGGTACACAGGTGAATCAGTTTGCTTGCTTGGTCATACAGTCCTTTAGAAGGAGAGTCCAGAATTTTATACACAGTTTCCTAATGTCACACACTGAGGCTTGCATATGGAAAGAAAGAAAAATAAAGACTTTAGGAGGATAAATCTCATATTAATTTATAGTTCTCTTTAGTTACTGGACTACACAACTTTAAATTATCTTTTTCTTCTGAAAAGTATACTAAAATGTGGAAAGATAATGAAGTAAAACTAATCATTTGTGCATTTTAAAAATATAATCAGATGTTAGATTGTTTTTCTCTATTCCTTCTAAAATGTGTTATAATTTGTATTTATGTGAATTCCAATAGGGTGTTCTCACTTTTTTTTTGAAAGTTCCAGTGATGTATGAAACCTGATTTCAGTCCTAACGCTTAAACTTTAGTAGAGAGTTACATGGACAGATAAAAGGTCACTGAAACTGTCTCCAAACCATTGGCCTGTCTGTTTCTCTGGGTCCCGAGTTTGCACACCCACAAACATGCTTAGCTGTTTTCTTCACATCTCCACTTCCGTCTCCAAGGAGTTTCTTAATTCTGAGCACAGCCACAGTATTTATCCCTCATCTCAGCTTACCTCTTATGTCCTTCCAGTTTGAATGTCTTCACCAGACTCTCCACTGCTCATTGTAAGCATATAAGGGATTTTTCTCATTCTTTCACAACTTACGTCCCATTGAACTCTCTAGCCTCATCTCCAGAATTTATTCTTACTTCCCTCTCTTAATCCAAGCCATACTGTCTTTTGCTTTAGCTGACATAAAGCCTCCATATGACCCCTTTCTCACTATATTATTTATTCTTCTCTTCACAACCATTTGCAATTATTTTCAAAAGGTGAGCCATGCATATTATTCAGTGCTGAAAGGCAACTTCTATAATTTGTTTATAATCTAAGAATAACATTGAAGTTACTTTCCATTGTCTGCACGATATCACACACACTGCCCTCTCCCTTCTGCTTCCTCCTTAAACCTCCCGACTCTTTTCTCAGTGTGCATTTGCCGTCTCAGCTTCTGATGCTTCACAGAAAATATAAAGCTTTTGAAATCACACCTTTTACCACTCACTTTACTTTGGCCATATTTTGGTTCTGCTTTCTACAAGTCCAATATACAGAAGTCAGAGTCAGAAAAACTGCCATGCTTTCAAGACTTACTAGGGGATAATCACATCTTTTGCTCCTACCATCTTTAACGGCTACATGAATTGCATATCTCAGAGAAACTCACTACACTTCCCTTGTCACAGATCCTCTTTATTCCATGACATCTGCTTTCCTTTTACAAAGATCCCCTTGCAAGAACACCAACTTAACCATATGTGTGAGGCCCTATTTTACCATGTATGGTAACATATTCCTAAGTTTGGGGACATAGGACTTGGGAGTATTTGGGAATCATTATCTCACCTACCACAGAGACTTGAATTCTCTCTCCCCTTTCCCACAGCTTGAACAATATAAGAGAGCTTTTGTTTGGAAAACGAGCATCCATTATGGATATCTCCAGCTTTGCCATAAAGCCTGGTGAAGACTGAGCAAAGTTTAGTGATTCAGCTGAGAAGTTCATTAGCCATGACTCAGCTTCACACATTTATGGAGTAGCTGCTATGGGCATGTGCATCTCTACAGTACAGCTTTCTCAGGGTATATTTCACCCTACTTGTTGACACTTTGTGAGATGTAATTTTATTCAGATGATTTTTCATCTTGCTCTGTCCTCAAAGAAGTTATCAAGTAAATCGCTTGGCTGTGGCATATACTTTAAAATATACTAGAGCCCCATGCATACTTACTTTTTTATGTATGAGAGTGGACCTGTGGGTAAGCAGCCAGACTGACAGGAATCAAAATACAGATAGCAAAGCAACAGGGACAAATTAACTGGTCTGACATCTATGACATAGAAGATGGTTATAGTCCTCTGTTTATGGACAAGACAAGCTGATGAGGAGATTGGGGACAGTTTTGTGAAGTAATTTTTCAGTTTCAGGAACATTTCATGTTGATTTTCCTTTGGTGTTTAAAACCTAGTAACTTTGTGATTTTTATTTTAACCAAAGTGTCACTGCCACTGAGATGAAAAATGGCAGAGGCATGAACATTCATTCTTTGTTAGATCCATGCTTCTACCAAATGCTAAATTCTCTCTCCCATCATACCTCAGTTCTTTATTATTTAATAAATATGAACACAGGCAATTCAACTTATCCCAGATGTCTAAATCTTATTTCCTGATCTTTCTGAAGAAATGTAAAGTCATAGGAGTTGAAAAGGGCACAGAAGTGGCCCTTCATCTGAACTTGTGATTAATAACCATTTTCCTCTTTATCACTGTCTGCTTTATTCTCTTGTGACAGGGTCTGCCATAAAACCTGGAACTAGCTGTTTGTGTTTTCTTGACTAGACACATGCCCAGGGAGACCCAGTGATCTTCCCGTCTCCCTTTTCTGCCCATGCTCTTCCATCTTAATGTTTATGACCAAGCACAACTATTTTTAAAATAAAGCTTCATTTCTCTTCCCCATGCAGGTTGAGTAAGTAGTACCTTGTGTGTCTGGCCTTTATTCATAGCATTTTTCCTTCATCACTGTCTAGTCTAGCTGCTTAGTGCTTTGCTCATTATCCATCATTTCTCAGGTGGGAAGGGGATGCTCAAGGCAAAGATTCTGTTCAATTCCTAATGAGTCCTTGATCAGAAGATCTAGTCTCACTAATGCAAAACTAATAGCTATTTTTATTTAAAGATTAAAATTTCAATTATGTGTGTATGTGTGTCTCTATATGAGCATGTGAAGATAGCCACAGACACCATTGGTATCAGATCTTCCTACAGGTGGATTTGGTTAAGAACCACCTGAAGTGAATTCTGGGTACAGAGCTCAGATCTGTATGTAACTCTTTACCACTGAGCCATCTCTCCAACCTAGAAATGGTAATTTTCTTTTGTGTATTACTAGTAGCCTCCTGTGGGAACTTCTTCAGCCAATAGCTTTTAAGATACATGCCCACTTGGGCATGGTCTTTTGTACTATAAATGTAGATATAAAGCTTATGCTCTCTTATGCTCTCTTATGCTCTCTTATGCTCTCTCTCTCTCTCTCTCTCTCTCTCTCTCTCTCTCTCTTTAAGGTGTTGGATTTGGTTCCTGTTCTTGCTCGTGCAGAGGACTGTTGATCTGCAAGTCTTCTCCTAAATAAAGAAAACCTAAAAACCACCTGAAGAATTAACAATATAATGGTATAGAAAAGAGCCTGCAAGCTGCATGAATTTTGCAAAATCCTATGCTGTCCCATGAACTAAATGCTCCCTGCCAAGTGAGAGTCCATTTCCACAGATGCCTGGCTCCAAGGAAATTTCTTGGACAGGATCTAGACTAGGCTGCATGGTTCCCAACAGTGTAGGTTCCTCTCCTCTTTTGATTTGCTGCTGTGGTATTATTAATTCTTTATGTTTTCTTGGGTATGGTTAACTTATTTAGGTTGAAGTTTTCCTTCTAGTGTCTTGTGTAGAGCTGGATTTGCAAATAAATACTACTTAAGTTTGTTTTTTATGGAATGCTTTTCTTTTTCTCTCTCCTGTGATTGAAAATTTTGCTGTAGTCTAGGATGGCATCTGTTTGTAGTTTGTAGAACATCTATCTAGGTCCTTCTGGTTTTTAGAGTCTCCCCTGAGAAGTCAGGTGTCATTCTACTGAGTCTGCTTTTATATTTACTTGATATTTTTCCCTTGTAGTGTTAAGATATTCTTTCTTTGTGCTTTCCACTTAGTGTTTTGATTATTATGTGTAGTGAATAATTTCTTTTCTATTCCTATCTATTTGGTGTTCTGTATGCTTCTTGTACCTTGCTTGATAGGGGACTCCTATAAGGTTAGAGAATTTTTCTTATATAATTTTGTTGAAAGTACTTTCTGTGCCTTTGGCTTGGGTTTCTTCTTCTATTTTTATTATTTGTAGATGTAGTATTTTCAGTGTCCCAGATTTTTTGGATATTTTTCCTGGATTTTTAAAATAAGATTTAACCTTTCTTTTTGACTGTGGTATCAGTTTCTTCTACCCTATCTTTAATACCTGATATTCTGTCTTCTATGTCTTCTTTTTCTTGTACTATTTTGGTGAGGTTTACTTCTGAAGTTTTTGTTTGGTTTCCTAAAATTTCTATTCCCATTTCTCTCAGTTATGGCTTAGTGATTCTATTTCTTTCTTTCATTTTTCTTTTTCTGGCATTTTGAGACAGAGTTTCCCCATATAGCCCTAACTATCCTTGAACTTACTTTATAGACTAGGCTGACCCCAAACTCAGAGATCTGCCTGCCTCTGCCTCCCAAGAACTGGGATTAAAAGCATGCACCACCAGCACCTGGTGTGATTATATTTCTTTGTTAAATTCTGCTTTCATATTGTGAATAGTTTTTATTATCCCATTCTACTGTTTGTGTTTTCACAGGCTTCATTAAGTAGCTTATTCATATACTCTTTA